TCACCATCCCCTAATTTAACTATAAATTATTATTTTTTGGATAATCACTCACCAAAAAATGGACTGTCACCGTCCTCTAATTTAACTATAAATTATAATTATTTTTTGGATAATCATATAAAATACGCTGTCACTTTTTTTTTAAAAATCATTGCTTCTTTGTTTTTTTCACAAAAAAGATTACAAAAAAATCTCTACACAATATAAAAAATAAAAAATATTTTTTCTGCAAAAAAAATTGCTATTAGTCCTCATGATCCACGTTTCTCATCCAGGCAGTCTCCTCAGCCCAAGCGGCAATCTCTGCTGCCTCTACTTCCTCTTCAGCTTCTGCCGCCGCCGCAGCAAGGTTAATTATGCAAAATTGAAATAGCTCATCTTCATCGACTAAGTCGAAAAAGTCGAGCATGAATTCGACCAATTCACCAGTTGTACAAAGTGTGAAATCTAACATTGATAGGCTCTCATCGAGCTCAACTTCCTCCTCTTCAGTGGGAGCACCCTCGCCAGAGACACTCTCCTCATTTTCATAGACCTCTTCATTAGGAGCATCCACATCGATATAGCCATCTTCCTCCTCTCTCTCCGCATCATTTATTTCAAAATTATATGGCTCTCTAAATTTCATTTTTTTTTTAGTATTGAAGAACTACAAAAAAATATAAAATCACTAAAATACTCGCAACTACACTAAAAATACTCACAACCACACCGTTTTAAATAAACTATTACTTACGTTTTAAATAAATGACAACTAATGAATCCGCGCGCGGACAAGACTGGAGAAAGAGACTGACGTCGAGAGTCATCCTTCGCTGCGGTGAAGCTACCCGGGGTATTATTTACAGGCGACAATTGTATATAAAATACTTATGATCTTAAGCGTTGACAGACTATAGAACTAGAGAACTCTAGACACGAGAGGTGCTGGCCGCTGTTTATCTAAACGGAGTGCGATAGCGCGTCGAGGCATAGGATGGAAAGTATAGAATGTACACGATGATGCGCGAATGAAAAAATATTTTATTCACATTTTTTTTTACATCGTTTCCTTCGTACGTATTAATAACTAAAGTTAAGAGCTCGCAATCGACGAGCTAATGCGTGATGAAGACGTCGCTGTTGCGTATAGCGTTCTCTGACATCTCTAGCAACACTTTCTGGAAAAAAAAGAGAACAAAAGCACTTTTTGATCACTATTCGCTTTTTCAGCAGAGAATAAAATGCATTAGTTATCCTAAACACGTCTATAAACAAAAATACTTACCTTATGGTTTATATTTTGATAGCAATGGTGACGATGACGATGATGATGATGATGATGATGATGATGATGATGAAAACGTCGGTGACTTTGATGCTTTTTCACCAGGACATTCCCAATATCTCGCTTTTTTCCTCGATGGTGGTGAACTTGACGACTTTGATGCTTTTTCTCCAGGACATTCCCAATATCTCATTTTTTCCCTTGATGATGATAATGATGATGATGATGATGATGAAAACGTTGGCGACTTTGATGTTTTTTCTCCAGGACATTCCTAATATCTCACCATTTCCTTCGATGGTGGTGGACTTGGCGGACACACAATCAGTGGCAAGGGACGGTACCCCTTGCACTCGACCGATTTTCGATGTATATATTCTTTTAGTTGATCCATGTCTTAATGGTTGTAATTGAGGCTTACGATTGAGTGAAAAAAGCTTTATACACTGTTTATATACACTGTCCGATCGGTGATACGTCGCGACGCGTTTAAGAGAAGCGCCGATGTTTCGGCTGCTCAACAAAACGTAACTCTTCTACAATAAAGAAAGTGACTCTTCTGCAGTGAGACAAAGAAGTATGAAATCACATTACGTTCTCACAGTTCTTTCTTTCAAGGCTAAGAAGCACCGATAACAATATTTTTCTAGGAAGAGACACGTCGCTGATACTGCGACCACAAAGTGTAATCTAATAGGGCATAGACAAAGGGCCAAAGAAGTTGCAAACGAAATATATAATGGGTCATAAGCGCGCGGCACCTCAGTTGATGCTCTGAAAGAATATCAAATCGATCGCAATGAGAGTAATCGGAATGTATGGCTGACCATCGTGCGAACGTTGAGAACATAGTGTTCGAGAATATCAGAAACGCGGATCCGGAACACCTCGAGCATATTATAAACGAGGTGTTTGAAGAAATGGAAGTAGATTTTGAGGAGATAATGGACCAAGAGTCATCAGACGAAGAAGTATTATCCGACGATACTGGATGTGCGAGTGATTTAAGCGAGTACAATATGGATCGTGTAGAAAAACATGTATCGTCTCCGGAAATCCGCGCTCTGAACATTCGTACTAAACACTGCATGATCCACAACTATTACACAACGGGTGGTACGTATGCAGTATGTGCATCATGCATGATTAATATATCGGACACTGACATCAACGTAATGTATCTCGTCAGGAAGCATTATACCGAGAGAACCGGTGCGCTAGATGGCCGATCGTGCTCTAATTGTAGACAACCAATGTACACTGTATTTCCATGCAACATGTGTCCAATGTGCACATATTGAAAAAACTATTGTGAATAGTAGTGTGAACAGTATTGTTAACAGTATTATGAATGTGAATGTGAAAAGTATGGCTGACCATCGTGCAAACGTCGAGGACATAGCGTTATGGGAAGATATCGGAAACGTGGATCCGGAACAGCTTGAGGGTATCATAGACGAGGCAGATGAAGAATATGACTTTGCCGCATACGATGTGCAGTACGTTCTCAATAATCCGCAGAGGAGAGATGAAGTTACGCGAATATCACCTGCAGTTCCTACGCGATCCAGAATTAGGTATACGCGGAGAGAGACAGAGGGTCGTTATCAGAGAACCCATTTACCATTGGTCCTTACTCGCGCGACAGAAAGTGTACTCGCGGTTACGAGACGAATGTTACAAGAATGATGATGACAATGATGAAAAGAGACCTTGGTGGGCTAGAATTTTTCACAATTTCAATGTAATAAAGGACGATCGTTATTGGGTGAAGAAAATCGCGGAAAAGAGCGAGTGTCCCAGCATGTGCATTATGATTCCTGCGGGTAGTGAGAAGTGCGTCGAACTGCTAATAATTGGCAATATATGGACGGAGTATCACGACCGCGAAAAGATTCCTGTGCTGTTTCTTGACAAGTGCGATGAACAATGCTATAAGTGTGAAAAGTGCGACTTCGCCCTTACACATAATAGCAAGTTGCTAGATCGATATTTCAATCTAAATCTAAGGCGATGTTGCAACGCGTGTGAACGACTAACGTGCAAGTGTCCCGTGGAAGAGTGCGACGTGATCTAAGATTGAAAAAAAAAGACATGGAAAATCACGATCGAGTGGAACGCGAACTGTTGGAGCAGTGCGGCCAGGTCGCTAATCTGGCGGAGTGTCTCGCGTGGCTGCAACGATGCGACGAGTGCATCGAGCGGCTGGAAGAACTGTGTCGTGCCAAGCGTCCGCGGCTCGCCGTCGGACACAGATAATGCTTGGTGGT